ACACCTTTTGCCATTGCCGGCGCACACCGTGATTTCTTGGTCAAAAATTTCGACCGGTTGTAAACTCTCTCTGTCACTCTCTGTTAATTCGCTTGCTTGTGATCGATTCACTTGTCTGATCAAAGCCTGAAAAGCCTAGGTGGGGTATGAGCTGCATTGATGGAGTGTCATCCTTGCGACACGTGAAGTGGTGGCGGAGTCGGGCTAAGTAAGGGAAAGAGGGTGATGAGGTATACTAATCTCAGTTTGAGCGCCAGAATGTCCATTTGTTTCGGCAGGGTCCATGTGTACGAATATGATGCTAGCGAGTGGTTATAAACTAGACGATCACAATAACCGTTGGAAATGGAGCCTATCGATCGATATCGATTAGAATTATTGGTTTCGGGAATCAATAAGACGGGAAAAAAGTAATTAATTCATACCATCCATTAAGCGCTAAGTAGAGAACCACGTGAAGAGATCGGGTCAAGCTTGGAATTGGTGGGGCATGAGTCAAGAAATGCAGAACACATATTAGCGGAACCCTACTCACGGTGGACGGGGCATGCGCTGAAATGGGCTGTTTCGAGGGAAGAAATTTCGAGTTCGAACAGCTGTTAGACCGAGAAAAATGAATAAGGTGCGTATCAAGTCGTCAGGTTGTATTAAGGAGATTCATTCACGGTGGGCGGAGTGTTATGGATGTTGCTCAGTGAAAATAGTTATAACTCATGTATGAGGAAATTCAAATCTGAAAAAAACTCCTTGTAGCAGACCGGTGTCTAATCTGTACCATGTACTTTTGAACGAAGCAAAGGACTGTCTACAAGCGGGCTTGGCTTGTCGTTGAAGGAGGATTACACTTACACGTCGGAGGTCTACCGAAGGGAACTTCTTGAAGAAAGCCGAGCCCTCTTAATATGCGGGGGGATGCGCGTTTGGCAGCAAAAAGTGTGCCCCAACAGCCTACTGGGCCAAATTCACACTGCTCGCGCCACCCTCTCGCCGTTTGACTTTAGCCGTTCAGCAGATAGAGCATTAGCATTGAAGAGGGCAGCACCGATGAGAGTCGAATCAATGCGGAAATAAACCGGCAGAAAAGGATCTCATTCTTTGGGTTATAGCCCGTTTTTTTTTTTTTTATCCCTATATCGCTGACCATCTCCATCTCGATTTCTGATGAGCCGCCTTTTCATCGTAAACTAGGCCTGTGAGTGAGCGGCGTTTTCTGTTAGATCCATAATATGCTTCCGACAACCTACCAAGAGCCGGTTAAAAATTTGTAGAGGGTGGTTAAAATAGTCAACCGTTACCAATAGATGGGGAGCGCTCTGTGGGCGGGGTCTGCAGCGAAACATTAAAATTCGGCCCCGACGCGACTCCGAAACAGTTAAGAAAAATTTATAAGAGACTACCGAAGAGGGAGGAGACGGGTTCTTGGGGGTAGTATTTCTTAGGGGGAGTAGAGTATGCACCGGAGTGGGCCCGAGTTAAAATTCTAGTTGTGTTGCTAGCTTGATCCCCGTTTGTCGCAAGCGTTATTGTCCGGAGCCGAGTCTAAGTCTAGTGTACTAATAAAGTTTAGTTGGGAATACAAAATTTGACAAAGTCATTCGCAATCGATCGAAACTATCGACATTTGTGAAGAAGTCGAAAACGAAAGATGGATCGCACATTTGGATCTCTTAAGTTGAGTCCGATTTCTCTCCAACAGTCGCTTGAAGGAAGCGTTACGGGGTAAGGATGGTTAGAACGTAAGCAACGAGAATCTATGTGGAGAAAGTGATTCAGTGCAGGGTACTGTGATCATGATTGGAACCGTTCATCACTCTTTTACTTTCTTGCTTTCAAACTGCCCTCTCCTTCTTTTTTTTCAAAGAGCACAAATTGGAAATAAGTCGCTGCCGTTCAGAATTTTACCGCGGGATGTGCCTCGTCGTCTTGTTGAGTCGTTTATTCTTTGTAAGCATTACTCTGTGTATTCAGATGAGGATGCAGTACATACTAGGCCTGTTGGCCTTACTGCTTGTCACCGTCGATGCAGATGTGTTCACGTCAATCGCCGATATGCAATCCTTGCTCCAGTCTGAGAAAGCTATTCCAAAGATCCTCAGAAAATACATTGAAAGCGAGTATGATCGTCTTGAAAAACTCAAAGAGTACGGTACTTTTTTGGCTGCAATCATGGAGAACATTCACATCAGCTTTTTATTCAGTATGATACGGAAATACGAGGAACGAAATGAGGAAGCAATGAACACTGACATCAAGGACCTCATCAACCCGATCAATGCTTTTCTTTTTATCAAAAAGAAGGTGAGCCTTGGCTGGGACTCTGTTGTGTACTTGTAATCATAGGGACCAGGAGCTGATCTGTTGCAGATATTCGACTGGAAGGGTATTGAGCATGCAATGATGTTGAATAAAGCCGACTCATTCCTGGAACGTATTGCCAGCAAAGACCAAGGATTCCGCTATCCAACTGAGGTAATCGTTGTGTCTCTTATGACGTTCTCACCGAATGTAAGACTCTTCCTATTCTTTTTTTGTCATTTATGCCCTGCATATGGTTTCTGAG